GTCCTACAGTCCCTGTGTGAGAGACATGTCCTACAGCCCCTGTGTGAGAGACAAGTCCTACAGTCCCTGTGGGACAAGTCCTACAGTCCCTGTGTGAGAGACATGTCCTACAGCCCCTGTGTGAGAGACATGTCCTACAGCCCCTGTGTGAGAGACAAGTCCTACAGCCCCTGTGTGAGAGACAAGTCCTACAGTCCCTGTGTGAGAGACATGTCCTACAGCCCCTGTGTGAGAGACAAGTCCTACAGCCCCTGTGTGAGAGACAAGCACCTTGGACAGGTCACAAGTCCATCACAGGACCATAGAGACAAACACTACAAACCAGTTTTCACACCCTCACCCACACCTAGGAACAATTAAGATAAGATAAGATTAACTTTATTGTCCTGAAGGAAATTAGTCTTGGGTACAGATCCTGACTGCTACACAGTCCAAACCACAACAGTCACATTACATTTACACACAAAAAAACATTTTACAACCTCAATAAAAAAAACCTGAGTTGCGTCACCATTTATAACCTAACATGCATGTTTTTGGTCTGTGGGAGAGAACTGGGAGTGTGTGGAAAATGATTTACCTCCCTGTGTGTCTCCCTGAGTTTTCCACTTTGTAGTAATCCTGCTGCTACACCAGCTTGTTATGTCTGTAAGTTTACCCTTATCTTTGAGTGCTTAGAGTTTTTGCCTGCATCCCTGAGTTCCAAAGTCTTTAGAAATCATGTCAGTCTTCACTGCATTTTTGGTAAAAAAACCATATAAAACCATGTCAGTGAATGTGTTTCTGTTCGCAAACATGTCTCATGAACACTGGACGATTTTACTGGAATTCTCAAAGTCTTCAGCTGACAGAGTCGACCCTGTTTAAGATGGCTGGGCATAGAAAAAACAAAAATGTCTCTAAGTCATTGAACTGAGAACTGAGATTTATCCCCAACACAAACTTAGCAAAATATCACAAGAACCATTGAAACATTTTGAATGAAAATCTCAAAGTCATTGTTTGACATTACAGCTGATGAACTTTTGGAGGTGACCTGATGGCCACCACAGGTAACACAACTGTGGCTTCAGCTGAGTCAGTTTCATAAATACAGAGCAAACATTTGTTGAGGCAGCAGCTGAAAATCATTCACAACATCCGTCACAGCTAGTGGACAGATCTTGACAAATTTACTTAAGACTGCATAAAGTTTTGACCGAAACTTTCGTCTTTTGTCTACATAAATCATTTTTGGTAAACTATGGCATGAAATGAGGCGTGTGATTGTTTATGTAGGAAAACCATCCAAAGAGTCAGGAAATGATCGTTTTCTTTTGAATGTACAGAAGAAAGTCTGAGTCAGAACCACAGTCCTACCTGTTAAGATTTAATGAACAGGAACAAAAGTAGGCTTCGTTAAACTAATATAACAGGTTTGGGTTTTATTTATGACACATCTGGTCTGTGTTTTAATGTTGGATCAGTAAAGGTTCATGTGTCACAGATGAGGTCTGAAGGAGAAGAACCCAAACCTGGATCTGTCCTGTTTGTGAAGAAGGCCGGATGAAAACCACTTCATTGATAGGTCAGTTCAGCCTTCACATGGACCAACAGGTGGCACTGTAGAACCTGATGGAGAGTCAGACTTTTCTTATGCCAGAAAGAAAAGAGTAAAAATTGTCTGATAGCCAAGAGGACAGAGTGTTTAGCACTGTTACCTCCCAGCCTGCAGGCTCATGCATGCATCAGCTTTTCTTTGTCCTTGGGTTTCCTTCCACAGCTCTCATTCATTTCTCACAATTATTCATTAAACGCTGTTACAACAGCAGTCGTACTTATTTRTTTTGAGTGTGTATGTGTGTGTGTGTGTCCTTGTTTTTCCCACAGTGTGGGGCCCATGTTTAAGGAAAATGCAGCATTGTGGGGACCGGGTGCTCCTTTGGGCCCCACAACTTCGGAAGCTGATTTTGGGTGTGGGGGTTGGGTTTAGGACCAAGGTGTGAATTGAGTATAGGTTAGTTTTAGGGTCAGGTAGGTACCTGTGAGGTTAGGGTTAGGGTTGGTGGTCAGGGTTAGGATATAACATTACCAAAAAATGAATGCAAGTCAATGGACGAGCCCCACAAGGATATAAAAATGTATTTGTGTGTGTGTGTGTGTGTGTGTGTGTGTGTGTGTGTGTGTGTGTGTGTGTGTGTGTG